TTTATATATATATATATATATATATATATATATATATATATATATATATATATATATATATATATATATATATATATATATATATATATATATATATATCGAGCGGTATGTCAGAATGTACCGCTCGATATACTCGTACCGTACCATACCAAGCTGAACTTTATACTCTGGTACGATATGAAATTACGAACCTTGGTTCCAACTATATCAATACTTATTATTATTCTCATCATTGACCTTTTATTTGTTAGACAAAACAATGAAATACAGAAAAGTGGATCTCATAACTTTATGGAATTGGTACATTTGGACATGAGGTTGATGACTACAGAGATTGCATATCTACAAATAGTTATTCAGAATAAGTTTACAACTGGGTAATCTATGGAGCTTAATATTGTTGTGTAACAGCTTGTTTTTGCTACTGTAATTGTGCACAACCAATGGTTGTGCCATAGTGCCATTTAAATAAGTTGGTCAGGTTTTTTTATCTATTTATTTGAATTTTGACTTAGGCTTTGGTGTCAAGAACCTGATCTGTTGACTTATTTGTATGTAACCTAGTAGCATATCATGGTGGTTCTATTTTTTTGTGCAAGCATTGCATGCGACGGTGCACTGCCATGCAAGTACATGATCTGCTTGTGTGTCATTGACACGAGTCAAGCATGCAATTCCTAAATCCTTGTAAGCTCCGTATTCATATTGTCTAATGTAGTAGTTGAATCACATCCATTATGGTTTCCTTTCAGGCTCACGGAGCTTGGTTACCACCTTGGCTTGCTGCTCATATCAGTCATTATCAGGTATGTATCATGCATGAACAGTTAGAAGCTGATATGCATATTTAGATTTTTCACTACAACCTTAATGTTTCACTTTTCAGGAACTTTCAGCAACTTACTGGAAGGAGCATGCAAAACCTGCATTAGATGTTATCCTTGAGAAGGTGCTCATTTGTGACTTCTTGTTTTGTTTCTAAGTTAACTTCATGAATATGTGGCACATATTTGTTTACTTATAAGTTTAATGTTGCATGACTGAGCGTTTTATGTCTAAAAAATTGTCTCAGGCTTCTGAGAAATTAGTTCAGGCACAGAAATGGGTGGAGCCCCAGTTGGAAATAGCCAAAACTGTAAGTAGTTAACATATATTGTCAGAAATTGAGGGTTATTTTAGTCATTTTATCTACATGTTTTAGGATCAAAATGTCTGGCTTTCAGGTAAATTAGGAAGTCTTATGAATTCAATACTTTGATGTTCAACTTTATGTTAAAAAAAAAAAAAGATGTTTGAGTTTTAGATAAATTTTAAAAATAGTTTATAATTGATGTGGGATTATTGATTTCTTGGTAAACTTCTTTCCCTGAAGAAATGGGTTCCTGCTATTAAAGAGCGATGGGTGATTCTTGTGACCAATGCTGAGCCCTATGTGCAAATTGTATATACTAAAACAGTAGAAGTTTATCACACATCTAAGGGTACCATAGCCACATATGTTATCGAGGTGCTGGAACTGGCAGATCCCTACTTCCAGGTACTTACTGATTGAATTTTATTAAATAGGGATAATTGAGGTCCTTCTGCAGTTCTTCTTAATATATTCGATTTTTTTTTATGATTAGTCACTAATGTCACCAATATTTCCATGTCGGATACTAGGTAATGAAGAAATTTTCCAAACCGTATATTAATCAAGTTGCTACTATCACCAAACCGCATGTTGAGCAGATGCAAGTCTATTTGAAACCCTATACAAAGCGGGTAGTTCTTGCTTATGGAAAGTTTCTTAAATCAGCAACAACTTATCACCGTCAGGTACATTTTGACTGCCCTTCCTCACTTAAAACTTTTGGGTTTCATCTGTAAGGTAGTCTTATTAACTTAGCATATTCGACAGTCTTGACATTCTGAAAATAGAGACAAAGAACTGAATTTGTAGTTCAGTTAACATGCATGTTTTTGTATGGACAATGTTGGTGCCCAGTAACTTTGAATTAAATATAGCTGTCTAAGCAAAATAAACCAATCGTACAGTTCTCCTTTTTGAATAAACAAGCAACTTCCTTAAAATAGCTATAGATCTGGCAATGTGAAAAGCAAGGTCAGTTGGTGGAAAATTGTTTAATGGATCTGAATTAGGAATCATATAAGTTTTTGTTTTGCTTTCTGATAGTGGTGTTTTTTTTTCTAGTGATTGTGATGATTGACATCACCACTATGTAATTTTCACATTATTGATTCAAATCACTTTCTTTCTTTTTTAACTACTTTCTCAATGTTTCTTGTAGTGCGAATTTGTCTATCACGTTCCATCTCTTATTGCAGTCCGGATCACTTTTTCCTTCTTACAAGGCAGTATTCTTTGTGTGAAATATTAATTATGTATTACCTGGGTTGAAGCATTAAGTTTAAATTATGTGATAAAGCCTTTTTATACACTAAATGATCCTATCAAGAGATGTGACATTTACAGATGTTTGATCAATATAAGTTATAATTTTGATGATTTGTAGATCTAAAAGGTGAATTGCTAAAATAAAGAGAGGAAGAAAATAATCAGAGAAGTCACTGGGCATATATTGCTATATTAAGCTTGAGTAGATATCCTCGTTGAAACCCATCTTTCTTCATAAAGAGAATATCTCCAGTAATAGAGACACCACTAAATCACCACAGCTGTCTATTTTGTAGTCTTGATAGATTAAAAAAGGAGGAAATGCATAACTTCATGGAGCTTATGTTGATCATAAGTCTTTTCATTATGCTTTTATTCCTTAAGGCATGTGCTTGTAGAAAATCAAAGCATCATCATCCAGTTTCCTATTAGGATGTGGAAATCATCAAATTGCATATAAAACCTTTGAGCATCCAAGAGAACTCGACTATAGTTTAGTCATTCTTTTGACTCAAACTTTAAAACTTAGGGATTCTGCACACAGATATTCATGAATGGAAACAACGTGTGTTATATTTAAAAAATCACAATTAAAACAAAGAACTAACTGCAGATTCCATTGGGACTTTGTGTGAATAACAAATGTTACTCTTCAGAATAGTAATGGAATTAAGTTGACAATATCAGAAAGGGGAAGAAAAACATCAATCATTTGTTAAAATCCAAGACATGACATAATCAAGTAATATGACTCTAGGGAAGACTCTATTCCAGCATCTAATAAAGAAAGTACAACTGTAGTTGGTTGTCATGTTCGCTTGTATACAAGCATGTTTACCATTCAATTCAATTAATGGTATTTTTCTTTCAACTTTCCTCTCAAGCATATATGGACAGTTTTTATTGGCTTTTGCAAAAATATATTTGCCTCATATGACAAAACTAATGCAACAAAATTACAAAATTTAGTAGACATAACATTTTTGTTATCAGCGTCCAACTTTGAAGCCTAAGAAGCACAAACCCACTGCCTGATCACTTGATCAGAATTCAGTGTTGGTTTCAGGGGCACATGAGTGCTTTAATCTGTGGAAGATGTTGTAGGCTTGATATTTTGTTATTTTCATTTTTGATACTTTTTCCCTGCAGTTTTCCTTGTTAGGCCAATAGAAAAATTCAATCATTTAAAGATAACTTATTAAATATTTGTAATACCCTGATAAATCCTACATTGAAGGTAGGCATGATTAAGATTGACTTGTAAGGGTCTAATGGGAGTGCTATTATCAATCTCAGCTTAAACGTTTTGGCAAATGACTTAGATTCAATGAAGTTGACAGGTCAGTTATCCTATCAGGTCGTATCATGACATTTGATATCAGAGACTACCTAGTATTGGGGCATGGTGAGGGGGCTTGAGTAGGAAAGGGCTATTCATGGATGGAGTCAGATGACTTATCATGACATTGAGCCACTACTGAGCTACCCTTCACATGTACCTTGCTAAGGTTTAATCCGTGCCATGTTGGACTTTGAAGAGGATATCAAGCCCTTAAGTGGAGGAGTTTATAACATCCCGATTAATTCCACATCGGAAGTAGGCAAGACTAAAATTGATTTATAAGCATCTGATGGGGTGTACTACAATCAACTTTAACTTAAGTATTTTGATCAATGGTTTCAGCTAAACGAAGTTGACAGGCCAATTATCCCATCAAGCCTGGTCGTGATATTAAATATCCCATGCAATTTTTTTATTACTAAAAAAGATAAAGTCATGGCAGGGATGTCTTCAGGAATGAATTCTCTAAAGCACTATCGTTCAAGCTCGAGAGGCAAAAGTAATCAATCCAAATTTTCAGCTCATACCTTTGACCACTCTTTAGCACTGTGTATGGTTTGGGAACACATCAATAATGATTGTGTTCCTGTGCTTCTTCATAGTTTAGGTTTTTGCTTATCCAAATCACTGATATTGGGTTGGATAAAGTTAATAAAATATGCATAAGTGCTTATATCAGTGTATATTTCTTTCTTTTCCACACCACTGTCATAGTAATCAATTTGATAATTTTATTGAACCTTATTGTAGGTCCAAGCTGGCATCCGGGAACATTTAAAGCGTTATGAATTGACAAAAGTTATTGCAACTAAAGAGCTGGTGTGGTTCATGGTATATCACAACCTTTATGTTAGCAGATATTTGAATTTGTTGTGATCAAAATATTATTGGCTAGCAATATAATAACCTTGATTCGGATTTGCAGGCTTCTGCTCTGTTGGCTTTACCTATTTTCCTTGTATACAGACTCTTATTAAATACATTCTGGTCAGTTGGGTTCGTTTGCTTCCTTATGCAAGCCAGTACTTCTATCTCATCCTTTTTCTTGTTTGATGGATATTTTTTTGTCTGATTTTATCTACTTTTTGATAATTAGCTCTAAGAAGACAATAAAGTCAACACGAAATGGCGATTCAAACCACACACACCGCAAGCCTAAGCATAGGCATGCTGACAAGTAGAGCATGATGATATTTTTCAAGGTTGTGCTTCTTAAGTTCAGGGTAAATTCCCTCATTTCTTCATGTGCTTTTGTGTCCCATGTTAACCTTGGTAATTGTAAATTATTGATTTCTTCTTATTTTTCGTTTTCATCAAATATATATTATATTACTGATTTTTCAAGGAGTAACTATAAACAAACTTATCAGTTGATCTTAGTTCTCTATGGAATGACAATTTTTATGTGTTGATAGGTAGGCTTTTCATTTTAAAAGTCTATATTTCAGTAAGGTCTGTTATGTTCCACATATTCCTACAGATTACAAAATAAATTAGCAGCATATTGCTGAATCTTTAGCAAATAATCCAAACTGGAACAATTTATGCTCGGTTAGTTTGTGCATAACTTTTAACTTCAGAACAATGCGGCTGGTTTGGAGTCAGGAAGCATGAAAGGAGAATCTAAAGGTTTGCAAAACAGATGTATCTTTCAGTACGAGACTGTCATGTATAGGTGAATTGAGAGACCATAAATGAAACAGGATAAGTTGATGACAAATTAATGAAGTTGCAATTATGGCAATAATTGGATGCTTATGGTTCTCAGCTTGTAACATCAGCATAACTTCTCTTGGTTACCATTTTTTTTGCCATGACCGGTTGTCATTGAATCCATAATTTAGTTATGTGTGTTGCTTTTATTCAGGACTGCTAGCAATTTTTGTAGCATCAATTAATGCAGAATATTTTTTTTCTATGGAGATCTAGTGACTTCTATGTCTAAGTCTACCGTATTTTATCAGGAAAGAGACACCAGAAGATTGGATTCTTATATTGAGACAGAAATTGTAGGATATACTGTTACTATCTGAAGCACGTAATGGTCGATTATGCTGTTTATCCCAGGTCATGTATTTGATCTTATCTGCTGCTTAATCTCCAGTCCATCACAATTTCATAATTGGCATTGTCAAGAATTTGGTGTAACTGCAGCTGGTGTGTAACCGTTTTCTTGAAGAAGCAGAGCTTGGTGTTAGCTTAGGATTTGGTCTGGGGGAGAAACTAGGTGCATTCAGTTTAATTTATAGATTAACATTTGGAAGCTCATTAGCTTCGGTGTTTGTTTTTGGATATATTATCCATTGATTGCAGAGATTTAGTTATATAAATGGAATTATGTGCATGTTCAGTATGATGAGATCAATAAAAGAAATTTAAAAATCTTTGGATATGCACTTCGAGTAGGAATTCTAGTCGGAAGGTTGGCATCACAAGTTTTTTGCATAGGTCCCAGTGTGATATGGTTCAAGTCCTTGTTTGTATTTTAGATGACGTTGAATTCTTTCTTGAAGTCAATCTAATGTTGTAATTTTAAGTGGCTACTGCCTACTGGAGTATTCTGTGTAAGTAACTTTTTTCTTGGTATACTGTTTTTTAAATGGGTATCCTGTAAGAGATTGTATTCTGCAATCTATTTCTGATGTAGAAACTATAGATTGAACTTCTCGAAGTCATGCTTGGTACTTACTGAAAAGAAACATTGATCAAACAAGCAATAATTTGACAGTTCAACGTTTTTCTTCAATTGTAATCACTTTCCTTTTCTGTTTTCTTCTGCACAAGTGATGGAAATAACCAACTCCTAATTTAATCTGGAAGTCTAAGACAATCCATCTTTTTACTGTGTACTTGTCACTTGATGTTTAGTATGACATTTTTTTTTGCAATTTTATCCTTGTTTCTTGTTAGGTTGAGTTGATTCTTGTGTATAACATATTTCGTGAGTGTATTTTTTCTATTGACACTTATCCCATATTTGTGCAGTTCTTAAATAGAATTATGATATTTAGTTCGTTATCATAAATAAATTTTCACGAAGCTGCAAAAAAGTTGCCATTCTACCTGAGTTAACAGTTACTTTGTTTCTATGCAGATGACTGCCGAACTCGGAATTGGCAGTGTACCATACGTTCTACTTTGATGTCCAGGGCAAATTTGTTTGGGGGTTTCCAAAAAAGGAAAAAGAATTATACTTAGATATTGCAGAATTCTGCAGTAAAGAGTGGCAGTCTGCATGATGTTTTGAGTTGTTTCACCTGTTATTTATTGCTTTAACATAAATTCCTGTTCTTTGAACTCTGTGACCATCCTCCCTGTTAAAAATTACAGTTGTTATGTTGGATTGCTTTGTCATGATTGGTTGTTGATGGGTCTCTTGTCAATGTTCTTGTTGAAGTTTAGGAGGAAATATAGTGCATGAATGATTTAATCCCGATTGATGCAATAATATTTGGTAGTCCTTGCAGGTAATCTGCATCAAGCCAATCTTTCCCTTGGGGAGCACTTATCATCCAGGCAGTGTCTTATCCTGCAAATATTTTGATGTGGGTGTCAACAGAAGGTATCTAATGTCCTCTAGACATATATGATGAAACCCTAATTTTTAGCATCACTTCTCTTCATGCCTCTGAATTTTGGATCCATTACCATTATTTGATCAGCCAATCCACCATTTATGATTCTAATAAAAATGCTGAGTGTTTTCTAGCTTCCAAAAGAAACTCTGTTTGGTGCCTACTTTAAAACTTCTTCTACTTCTTGGTGTAATACAGGTTTAATTTGATTATTTGCTATAATTTCATTGTGATTGGATTAAAACATAGATACCTAATACACCAGTCTTCCACCAAAATGGAAACTTACTAGATAGATATCTATAGTAAACCATCCAAAAATGGACCCTCAGCTTTCAGCCTTGTGTGTATTTCTCTTTTTGGATTTGATTTTCTATGTTTTTTCAGGAAAAAGAAAATAATATTAGAGTGTTTTTATGGGAAAAAAAAATACAAAGCTGCTAAGTCACTATTTAGAAGTTCTCTCTCTCTCTCTCTCTCTCTCTCTCTCTCTGCATTTATTTAGTCACCTTAAATATATTTAAATGAGGATACCATTTGTTTTTGGATTCTGTTTTCAACCATTGTGTGTCATTGTCTCATTGCAGTAGTAAAATATCGTGACAGATTCTCCCCTTAAAATCAACAAGGAAGACACTGAAAACTGCAGGCTACCAACTTTGGACTATACTACCCTTCTTGGTTGGTGGAAGTCCGTCCCTCGTAAGATTCCTAGATTTTAGATGCTTAAAGGATGCTTTACACGTTCTTTGCCTTGTGTTGTATACATCTTGTCCGGAAGCTATTACAAGGAGTACAAAGAAGCCTTTAAATAAGAGTAGATCCAAAGAGAAGAAGGACCTCTTTTGGAGAATCACACAATTAACATAGAAATTACAAGAAAGATGTGACAAACAAGTGATTGATGCAAGTAATAAGAAAATAACATTCTTTTTCTTTTCTATGCAGTAATTGTTTCTATAGTACAGAAGTGTTGAATGATACATAACAGATAAAATTAATACACGACAACAATCTAATAAATGAACATCGGATATGATTTAACCCACTGCGTTCTTAGTAGATTCTGATAGAGACTGTACAATATTATGAAGAAGAATTTGCCCAAGCAAAAACATAACAAAAATTGAAAATATATATATATATATATATATATATATATATTTCAGCTAAGACTGTACAATATTATTCTGTCACCACTTGTTTTCTAGATGGCATAACTTGAGACAGAAGCTGAGGTGCTAAGCTGGAAGAGGAATCAGTTAGCAGCTTGTAGATTCTTATGCTATCTACACTATTCGCATCGACTAAAAGTCAGTCGATTTTAACAGAAGATGAACATGCTAGGCTGGATTTAAACTAAGATTGAACAACAGTTCCAACATCTAAGCTTGCAGCTGACACATCTGCCATAGCCAGCTTGTATTTAATTAGAAGTTTCTGATATCTTGCAGATGATGCAATTACTAAAATAAAGATTTGACATACCATCATCCCTTTGTGTTGGAGACAGTTATTCTGATGAGGAGAAAGTAAGAAACAAATCGACCCTCTGCACAAAATCTTATTCCGGTACACTCTCTTCCCCACATTCATTTTGGACTTCTCATTTAGTGACACCCTAGAAGCATGTCAAAGCTTCAAGATCAAACCAACATCTTTGCCAATTCGTCGGAAACTATGGTTGCTCCATGGAAAGGTTTCGCTGGTTCTCCTCCTCTAATTCTTGCTGGAGAAGAGATGAGGAACTCCTGACAAACTAGCCCTGCAACGGCACCAATTGGAGCAGAAAGCCAAACATCTATCAGAATTATATCATGAGATCCAATAAAATTCACGGAAACAACCACAGGTAGATAAGGAACCAGGAAGCGAGAAATCCTCACCGGTCGGCATTCACCTTGTGCCGTCGGCACCAGTGGTGTCTGGAAAAAGATTGATGTCCTCCAACCTGACCTGCAAAACCCACGCCTTTGTGTCAATGAGGACGCAATCATCAAATAACCAGGATAAAAATTAGCAATCACAAATCACATTAAGAAAGAACAAATTAACGCAATTCTATAGAGAAACGGTCAGGTGTTCTTGCTCCATTGCTCATTCACCCTTCTCTTCAGATAGGATATACCTCTGTACTAGTTCCAGAGTAACGAAAATGTAAATACTTGCAGTTAGAATGATCCTAAATTTTAGTTCATAGCCTCGAGCTACAAGTAGGAGATTTTGATTATGCAGTCTCTGTAGATCTTATGAAGATGGAGATCGGATGCCTACAGGAGCAGCGGTTGATGAATCCGGTGACTCAGGATGGTCGGAGAATATGGAGCTGCGGTCTGACCATGCCTTGATGACCTCCTCATGGTTCAGCTTGAGCCCCAAACCAGCCTTCGATTCTTCCTGTGACAAGTTGGAAATTGTGCCTGCAGTGTTCTTTTTCTTCTTCATCTTCTTCTTCTTCTTCTCCAATGCCGGTATTGTCGCGGCAGGCTTAAGATTTGGAAAAATGTCTTGTACCGGCACCGCCGGAAACCTCCACCAGTCACCTTCATCCTGGTCCCTCGACGCGCGTCGCAGGATGCTCCCGTTCCTGAGCCCAAGCTCCAGCTCGAGCTCGGAGCCGCCACACGTTGTGTGTCCTGTGAGGCTCCCAAGCAGGAAATTGACAGGGGAGTTACGGTCGCTCGATACCTCGTTGTTGCTGTCCTCTGTGGGGGTGTTCATGCTGAGGTTGCCCATGATGCTGTCGATGCCCTCTTCCACCTCCTCATCGAGAATGGACTCCGCATCGAAGTAGTCGTGCAAGGGATCAGGAGAATTAGGCTTCTGGGATACACTGCTCATTTGGCTCGTGCACTCCTCCACCGGATTCTTGTGCTTGAGCTCGAGGCGGATGGCGGCCGGCTTCTCCGACTGAGGCTTGTGGATTAGGACTGCCGCGTCTCCGAGGACCGGGAAAGGTGGAAGAAGCTCGGAGAATTCCGGGAAGGAGTCGAAAGGTCTCGTGTTCTTGGATAGCTTTTTGAGTTCCATGGCGGAGAAGACGCTGGGGTAGATGGTGGAGAGGAGCGCGGCTGCCTCGTTGTAGGCCTGGTTGGGCCGCTTCCGGGGAGTTCTCGCCTTCTTGATGGAGATCGCGAGCGGCAAATTGCTCGATTCGGAGAGGGTGGAAGAAGGTGACGAAGAGTGCAAGGAGCGGCCCGACGACGAAGACGACGGCTTCACGATGTCGAGGTCGAAGCCGTAGGTCCGGCCGCCGCCGCCGCCGCTCAAGCACGCCGACATGGAAGGAGACGCAATTGTGAGTGGTATGATTGAAACCAATCACAATACTCCTTGCTAAAACCCTAACCCTCCATGGCAGCCTCCTATAAATTCCTACTCTCAGAACATGCAGACTAAGAGTAGCAATATTTCGACTTGTGCCAACAACACTAAATCCCACAGCGGAAGGCGAATCGGATGGGTTGACCCGAATCCAGAAGCAGGAAAAGAAAGGGAATCTAATGGGTCCAGATCGGATTCCGTGCAAAAGCCATGGCTAGATTTGCCGCAGCAAGATCCAATCTTTTGGAAGACGGAAGAACCAACAACCAGAGGAGAGGATTAACTAAGCTTGGAGTAGAACGAGGTGGAACAGTCCGAAATCCCTAGTTTCGATTCAAAACTTAAAACTTTGCTCCATCGCTCGTCCCAAAATCCATTAAATGGAAGCAAAAGCCGATCAACAAGTGAAAAAAGCCTCATGTCTCCGAGCAACTCGACGTCCGAGACGACTACTCCTTCAGCGAACCGAACATCGGAAGCTAATGCTTACCAGAATAGCAGGAACCTGCTCGAAGGTGACGGATCCACCAGTGTAGCATTAAAATAAGAAAGAAGAAGGAGATTTGGACAGCGCAGAGACGTCGGCAATCACGACGCAGAAACAGCAGCTGGAGAACAGAGGACCGGTGACAGTTTGTGCAAGAATCGAGAGGGGTGGACGGCGCGCAGAGGTGCTCCGCAAATAGGGCAAGAGGGGATGCGACAACAACCCCCTCTATCATGAGTCGACCTGCCCTGTTCTATTGGACCCCTGGAAGCCTCTCTCTCTCTCTCTGTTCCGGTCGTTGGTGAATTGAACACCTGTGGAATTACTTCAACAGTGTGCCGTCTCTTATGCCCTGTGACCGAAAGGTTTGACGTCACAGTCATTGCTGCATAAACAATGTGCACTTGAAATGTTCGACGATTTGCCACAACAACACGTGTTTTTGGCTTTGCCTCGTTATGCACCGCAGTAATAAAAACTCGATAGATGATGGAGCAACATCATCTATTCTATGTTGATCTCATGCTAAATCTTATAATATCAGAATAAATTTAGTATTTAATTTGGTATGGATGAGACTAATATAATTTGACTCTTAAGAGTTATGATTGAGAGAGAAACACCGTTAGATCATATTTGTGTAAAATATGATTCTAATATCAAATCCATTAACAAATTTGTATTAATCTCATAATCATATGTTAATCCAATATCATCTGTTGTACACGTTTCTGTTCACATCTTAAGTTGGGAAAAATACTTTTCTAAGTTCTGTGCTGTGCTGCATTAATTTCTCTTTATGACATTTCTACATTGGTTCATTCCAAATCTCATGTCTGCATTACATCACAGTGTAGTTTTATCCGCATCTCTCTATCCTTCCTGTTTAAATGTCTGGTTTGTATCTTATTTAGGATATTACACTACAACAAAATTGATTTTCTAATTAAAATTCAATATTTCTGTTCATAATATTATTTTTTTTGGGGTAAGGATGGAGAGTAATTAATATTCTTCGATTGAACCTATAATTAATATATAATTTTTTTTTTCTATTTTTCATATGAGTTATCTGAGACTCGAGTCTAGAACTAATCGGATAAAATTTATGAAGTCTAATGACTAAAATGGTTGGTTCCCTGTCCTCCTCCTCATGTGAAGTCAAATCTATAACTTATTGCTCTTTAAATATTTGATTTGATCCATGACAAAATTGTAGCCAAACACCTGCACCCATGTCCGATTAGAAGGATGACTCCTTTGATCCAAGATAGAAGAGAAAAGAGAAAGGTGACGATGGTTGCTTTAAGGTGGTGTGTGTCTCGGAGTGAAGCTTTTATCTTGGATATGCTTATAACAAGTTGCCAACCCAATTGATTCTTTGATAACAATGGATCGATGGCTTCAATCATAAATGTTTATGAAAAGTACCTTTGATCCTATTATTTTCCCATGTAATAATAAACATATTTATTGTGTTTTATACTGTCGATTTTGAACCAATCACAAAATATGGAAATCCTTATGCTTCCTCTTTTGTAGATTTTGAAGAAATAATTCAGTAATTATCAAAATATTTATCATACATCAAGATCTCACAAATTCATATGGTATTCATAGAACATCTTCATTTTTTTTTAAATTGCAGAGTTTTTTGTTATATCATTAAAGATTTAAATAGATACAACATATTTCTTGATTACGTTAGAGTTAGCCCCAAAAAATTTATCAAAGGGTAATTTTAGCAACCCAATAAAGACAATAAAACGAAAAGATAAAAGCGACAATAACATCAGATTTATGTGGTTCGGTCAATTAACCTTGACCTACATCCACGGACGAAAGAGGAGCAAATCAATACTATAAAAGAGACTATTACAAATATCTTAGGAAGATGTTCATATGCCATAAAACATCAGAAAATACTAAACAAGAAAAAACTCAAAGTATAAACCCAAACTATTTAACTGATTGTGAACTTAAGTTTTTCTTATGGTGCCTCTTGTGGTGTTACTTGTGGTGCATCTTACTTTAAAGCTCAAACCCTTATTTATAGTTCCAATATGAAATAACAAGCCTGGTTTTCCCGATGTGAGACTATGAGACTCGCCAAACTAAGACAAATTTATCCTCCAAATTGCTTGTTAGAAATATTAGTTAAAGATTTTTAATAATTTTATATTGAGTTAAATATGTAATCATCAAAGGGATTACATATTTAACTCAGTCAGAAAGAAGAAATTGTGAATTATTGGAAAGTTAAAGCAGAGATTAAAATATAAAGCTAATACAATAAAAAAATAATTATATATTTATTTTTGAAAAGGATAAATGGTGAAGGCAAGTTTTAATTTAAAAAAATCTTTACCAGTCAATTATACTATTAACTTAAATTTCACAATAAGGGAAATCTATAAATTGAAAATATTATATACATATATAAAAAGATGCAAATGCATATATAATAAGAAAATTCGGTGGAAATATCATCTCTCCAAATCTGTCGATTGAAAAATATTATACAGGTATCATTGCCCAAACAAAAAAATAAATTGATCATCCATTCACATCTTTTTTGCTTGTCCATGTTTCATGTTTCATAGCTAAACCATTTAAATATGTAATTCACAATTTATACGTACATATGAATACATAAATAAAATATAAAATAAAAAAAAGCAAGAAGCAAAGATACATACGTTGTACTCTCTTCGTTTCTTTATCACGTGACATGCACGTGGCACGCAGTTGGGATCTTTGAAAGAGAGAGAGAGCGTTTGCGCCGAACCGTTTTAGTACCGGATTGAAATAAAACGGGCGAAACCCGATACCGACTCGGAATCCTTTAAATCTCAATCTCCGAGCACGACTCCCGACCTCCCCAACTCAAACCGACGCCTCCCGTCTCCATCGAGCAGAAGATGAAGAAGAACACCATATGACGGAGACACGAAGAAGGTGCGTAAAAGTTCCTCCAAAAACCCATGATTTACGCACTCGCAAATCGTGTCTTGGTTATCCACTTGCTGTCGACTTCGATCTCCAACTTTATCTGTTTGTTTGGAAGATCCTAGGGTTTCGATTCGCCCCCCTTAACTGGAGCGATCCGATAGCGCTAGGGCTTCGCGCTGGGCGGACTCGTCCGTCAGATCTCGCGGTATCGGTGGGGCGAATGCTGATGCACCCGGGGCTCTGTTGATCTCCACACCGCCGCTTGGATTGCAGTTGCTTCTGACGGATCCCATGGATAAAAGCAAGAGATCTGATCTCCTCGCCGCCGGTCGTAAAAAGGTTTCTTTTCCCTTTTTGCTTCGTCTTTGTTGATTGGTATTGTGTCGTTGGAGGTTTTGAGTTTGTGAGATTTTTTTTTGGAGTATCAGCTTCGACAATTTAGGCAGAAGAAGGATCAGAAGGGCGGAGGCAAGGATGGCCAATCCTCGAGCAATGGCATTAAGCTGGAGAAGGATGTTGATCCTGGTGAACGAACGAATAAGATCTCGGAGCCTGATCCTGGCACTTTGACTTCGGCTGTTGATTCTGATGTATCGGCGATGGACTTATTAGATCCGTCATCTGCTGTCCATCATGTGGATTTGCGTGGTGTGGATTCTGCACAAGTGGTTGACCAAGGATCTCAGGATGAAGGGGGAGATGCTGAACAAGCGCTGATTGAGCTTCCTGTTGTCGGTGAAGGCTCATCATCAGCTTTTGAGATAGTTCATGAGGTAGGGAACTTCAGTTTATGACTAAGTAATCATGTTTGTCTTTCAGTCTATAAAAGGGGTGAATTGGATGGAGGAGTTGTGGGGTTTGATGTATAATTCAATTCTCATCTGTTACTTGTTAGGTGCTATGCAGGAAGTGAGACCTCCTGGTTTGAAACAACATGATGATGAGAGCTCAGATGTTGGGATCTCGGTCATCGATGGTGAAACACATGAGGCTGGTGGAAATGTTCTTATGGTTGCTCTGGATACCGATAGGGAAAAACAAGGAGCCACCACGGCTGATCCCGGTTCAGGACTTGAAGCAGCTCAAGATGTGGTTGGATTGCCTTATCTACCAGGTGAAAGAAATAAGGTTCAAGGAGATCCTGTCTATTCGGCTGAGAACTCTGGGATAGTGGTCTTGGGGATTGAGAGTGGGAAAGAGGATCATGAGATGGAGAAAATTGAGCTCCAGACAGATGTTATCGCCTCTAAAAATCTTGAAGTGGAGAGGGCTCCTGAAGCATATGGTTTTCCTATTCTAGCTGAAGAATCTCAAGTGTTGGGTACCAATTTTTACCATGAACATGATGAAATGGCACCTCAAGTGTCATCAGACAGGATTATTTCACTTGAAGATAGTTCAGAAATGTCATTGCCATGCCAAGACACTTCCATTAAGAACACTTCAGCAGAGGGACTGACACCTAGACACCATGTTGTTCCCAACTGGAGCACTTCACCTGGAGAGAAATCAGAAGTTCCATACCTAGTTACTAATGATAAGGATATTTCAGCCAAACAAAATTTGGAGATGGCTTCCTCCAACATTGGTACTTCTGATGAGAGTATTCAAATAGAAGAATACTCTGAAAATCCTTCTTCAAGCCAGCTTACATCTGACAACACTGTTTCCCTTAGAGAAAATGTGGAGATTCCTTATTTACTGGAGACTGACTCTGCCCAAGAAAAGGAAGAAATTTCAGCTATGGTTGATGGAGAAAGCCTAAGAACTACTGTTGAAGAGGTGGTACAGGGTCAGTGCAGGTCAAGTGGGGAGCTTCCAGAAGAAATTTCTTCATCACCTCAGGAGATGGCCGAAGAGCTTAAGGAAGAGGACTATTATCCCATGTCAGGATCAACAGTCCCAGTTTCCTCATCAGTGGAATGCTATATGCTAAACAGAGTTGTTCATGATGGTGTTGCAGATGAATTGGAGAAGTTTACAAGGTATCTTTACTTAACAAGTGTTGCAAGGGATTTTCTTCAGTTTCAGCTCGATGAGCAAACTGAGTTGAATCATGAGATCTGCAAGCGTTCTTCTGTAGAACATTCCAAACTCCAGGGTTTTCTTCAAGAAACTTACAGAAACAACATTGTTGTCAATGAGGAGCTTGCACAGTGCAGGTATGAGCTCGGAGCTATGCATGCTGTAAAGGAGGAACTCGAGATCAGATTACTTTCTAAGAATGAAGAACTTGAAGTACTTAATAACAATTTTTTGGAGTTGCAGAGCAACCTCAAAGTGTCCCAACAAGAATTGGTTCAATTGTCTTCTGAGTTAGCTGCTTGTATGTGTTCTCTTGAAACAGCACAGAAAGAAAACGTGAACTTAATTACAAGCCTCACGTTGGAAACAGATTTAAGGAAGAAAATTGAAGAGGAAAAGGAGTTTCTAGCCAGTCAGAATGCAAACCTCGCTTCTGATTTGTTGGAACAAAAAGAGAGGCTATGTACTGCCCTTGATAAACAAAACCAACTTGAGTGCATTATAAAAGAAACAGGGTCATACTTTGAGCAACTCGCAGAGGATAACATGTATCTGTCAAGCAGTTTATCTCTCCACATAGCAAAGCTAAAAGAGGTGGAGGCTGAGCATTTCGGGTCAGCTCTTCTCTTTAAAGAAGCTGAGTTTCAAGAAAATGATTATCATGTTGAACGAGTAGCTCCTCATGATGTAGCTGAAGATTTGCAAAGTACAAAGGGGACTTCAGGAGTGTCATGTCATGGTCAAAGTCCTTTGCTTCACAAGGTTGATAATGAGCAATCTGATAGTTTTTCCATCTTGGGTGTTCTGAAGGGGCATGTACAGCATGCCAAAGATATACTGCAGAATCTTGAAAACTCAATTGAAGGGCTGCACTTGTATTCAGTGTTGTCGAGCAGGTCAGATGGGAGAGCTGGAGCATCTGGAGTATCAAAACTTATAAAGGCCTTTGAATCAAAAGAAAATACTGAAATTGCATCAGAGGAAGTGCATGTGTCCAGGGGAGGGCTGTCAGATGATTCATATGCACTAACTAAGGAACAAACATCCAGTCTTAGAGGTACAATTGAGCAGATAGAATTGGAGATTGGAAAAGCTGAAGTACATATGGGTAAGGAATGGAATAGAAGAACAATATCAAAATCCTTTCAGATGGATTCTCAATCTCTAAAGCAGAAAAGTGATAGTATTCAGGCAAAAATTGATGAGCTTGTAGGCAACATGTCCAAGAACTCATGCAGAATAGAAGACCTGCAAAATCAGTTTGACGAAATACAGCAAGATGTTCATGATCAGTCAATGAAAATTTATAGCCAAGTGGAGCTGTTGCAAAATGAAATGAATGAAATTTTTTTTATCTCAAATCAAGAAAGGGACTCAATTATGGATGCTATTCTTCGGGCCATTGAAAAATTAAATAAATATACTGCATCTCAGATCTCTGATAACTGTGATGTTGGCTCACATGTCATGGCTTCGGTTGATGCTGCCACTAAATCATTTGTCAACCTGCATGAGAAACTAGATGCCGCCAATTTGAAATACAACACTCTCCATGATTCATATAATGAACAAAACAAACTATTAAGTACTGTCCTAGAAAGGAATGAGTTCTCTGCCAGTCAAATGCATAAAATGTATGTGAGCCTTTGGGAACATCTGTACGAATCACATAAAAGCATTGGGACAATAGATGCGGGTATGAAAGCTGATGAAATTTTGCAACTTTTACCTGAACGCTATGAAATGCTTATTATGCATCTGAGGAAGTTGTTGGACGAGCGGCTTCTCTTCATATCTAAAAATAATGAGCTAGAGTCAGTGTTGTTGAACAAAAACGAAGAGATCCAAGATCTGAACAAGTATTCTGATGCTTTGGCAAAAAAGTTGGAGGACCTACAACATGCCAAAAATGGACTTGAGGCAATTTTGATGAAGAAAGATGAAGAGTTTGAGGAATCTAACAAAAAATGTCTTGATTTGGCTAGTAAGTTGGATTGTTGTGGATCAAAATTTGATCTTTGCGCTCCCAAGTTGGCTGAAAGTGCCAAAGTCACTCAGATGTCTGACAGTATGAACAATGACTCATTTAGTTCCTTAATGCAGCTAGAGGCATTAGTTGGATCTCATATTCAGGAACATGAAGGGACAATTGAACAACTTAAATTGTCAAAGAAATGTTTATTAGAAGTTAATATATTTCCTGAAATTTCATATGATAATTTGTCATTACCTTTGCCGATGTTGCTTAAGGTTGACTTTATACCTAAAGTGATGGAACTGCAGGCTCAGTTGGACTCATTGTGTGTGTCAGACATTAAACATGAAATTGACCTTCAATTTTTCAAGGAGTATATAGGTATGATGAAGGAAGCTCTTGAAGCATCTCGCTCAGAATTACATTTGAAAGCACGTGAGTTAGAGCAATCAGAGCAGAGGCTTTCTTATGTCAGAGAGAAGCTTAGTATTGCTGTTGCAAAAGGTAAAGGATTAATTGTCCAGAGAGATAGTCTCAAACATTCTCTAGCGGAAAAGTCAAGCGAGCTTGAAAAGTGTCTTCATGAATTGCAGTCCAAAGAAGCAATGCTTCAAGAAGCTGAGGCCAAGCTCAAGTCTTATTCAGAAGTGGACCGAATAGAAGCTCTAGAATCTGAGCTTTCTTATATTCGGAATTCTGCAACTGCTTTGCGAGATTCTTTTCTTCTTAAGGACTCTGTTCTTCAGAGGATTGAAGAAGTCTTGGAAGATTTGGATCTTCCTGAATATTTCCATTCTAAAGATGTAGTAGAGAAAATTGAATTGCTGTCCAAAATGGTTGCTGGAAATTCTTCTTTTAGAATGAATGATTGGGATAAAAAAAGTTCTATTGGGGGATCACATTCTGATGCAGGTTTTGTGGTCATGGATTCTTGGAGGGATGATTCTCAGGCAATTTCAAATCCGGAATTTGATGAGTTGAAAAGCAAATATGAGCAGCTTGAAAGAAAGTTTTATGGTTTGGCTGAGCACAATGATATGCTAGAACAGTCCTTAGTTGAGAGAAATAGCCTTGTCCAGAAATGGGAAGAGATGCTGGATAAAATTGATGTGCCCCCACAATTGAGTATATTGGACCCAGAAGATAAGATTGAGTGGTTAGGAAAAACACTTTCTGAGACCCAGGATGAAAGAGATGCATTGCAAATGAAAATCAAGAACCTTGAGGCTTCTTCTGATATGCTTGTTGTGGACTTAGAAGAGTCATACAAGAAGTTATCTGAAGTCAGTGCAGAGGTTGTAGCTATTGAATCTGAAAAAGATTTTCTTTCTGAGAGTTTGAGTAAACTAAATTTCGAATATCTTGGACTTTCCGAGAAAGTTGTACAACATGATATTGACAGTGATAATTTTCAACGAGAAATAGATTTCCTGCAGAAAAAGTTGGCTGAGAAGATTCAAGGGTGTGATATGGAGAAAGAGATTTGGGGACTGATCAATCTGGTTCGTAATGCATTTTATGAATCTGATATGTCTGTAGCTCTCTCTGATGGTAATGCAATCAAGTGCTTGGAAGAATTAGTGAGTAAGCTTGTAGATGAATATACAAACCTCACATCAGAGAAAGTTTTGCCCAAAGATGCTGAGGAGCTTGCTTCTAATAGAAGCACTTTGGCCATTGGTGACAGTGTAACAGGAGATGTTCTACATGATAAAGAGCAGGAATTAATCAATATGAGAGTAGAACTTGATAAGGCTAGCTCTCATGTGGATTTGGTGAAAAATGAAAGGGATGAAGCCATTGATAGGTACCATTCTTTGATGTTGGAAATAGAGGCAATAAGTAGACAACAGAAATTATTGCAGGAAGAGATGACTGCTGAGATGGAAAAGAACAAGTCCTTATTATTGCAGTTAGATATGATGCACAAAGAAAAGAATGCTTTGCAGGAGCAGCTTACTCAGGAGGAGGAGAAGTCTGCTTCCACTAGAGAGAAGCTAAACATTGCTGTTAGAAAAGGGAAGGGACTAGTACAGCAGAGAGATGGCCTGAAACAAGAAATCGAGGAGATGAATACTATGATAGCACATTTAAAATCTGAGAATAATCAGCGAGTAGAAGCATTTGAATCTGAGAAAAAAATATTAGTGAATCAATTGGCAGAGGCTGAACAGAACTTGAAAATTAGTAACCAGACACTCAGTAGATTGTTAAGGGCTTTAGATGGTATAGATGTTGGCACTGAAATTAATAACACTGATCCTCTTCAGAAGTTGGAAGAAATAAGGAAAATAAATATCGAGTTGCATTCATCCTTAATTTCCGCAGAACAAGAAGCAAAGAAATCTAAACGAGCAGCTGAACTGCTTCTGGCTGAGTTGAATGAAGTTCAAGAGAGGGCTGATATCCTTCAGGAGGAACTTGGGAGGGCAGAAGCTGCACTTTTTGAGGCCTCTAGACAGAAAGATGATGCTGAATCTGCAAGAGCTGTTGCGCTCCGTCATCTTGAGGAAAATGATTTGCTGCATTCTGAGGAAAGGAAGCAGCAAATTGACAATCTGGTTGAGTTAAATTCTGGCATTGGTCAGATAAAGAAAGTCTGCTTTGAATTTTCTGATCTTCTTATTAATACTTTTACAAGGCATGCTGACCTCTTAAGCTATATTGGGACCTTTGTGGAATCTATTGAGAAACAATTAAACTGCGAAATCGTGACTGATCTTCCATCTGATTGTCTGTTTCATGAGGTGACCTACATGTTAAATATGATCTAAATGCTACTTCTTTATTTGTTGTTTTTGGTTGTATCTATCTTGCTAAATTAATTGTCATATATCTTGCTAAAGTAATTGTTTGTCATCTTTCTTGCTAAAGTAATTGTGGGTCATCTATCTTGCTAAAGTAATTGTGTGTCATCTTATTTGCATAATTGTATGCCATCAAAGATATCCAGTAAGACAATTGATGGAAATTGAATTTTCCTCGCATACCTGAATAGGAGGTGGTTTGCTTTCCTTTTATTGTCATCAAAGTGCAATTAGAATGTTGACTAAGCTGCTATAGTTTCTCATAGATAGTTTCATTGTACTTGTAGTAGATGATGGGCTACTTGGTTATCTTTCTACTGTTGTATACATGGTTCGTCTTACCGGTTCTTACTGGTTTACTGATCAGCTGTTGGTATGGTACGTACCGAGCGGTATGCCTCAGTATGGCGAACCATGGTTGTATACTATGGATTTGTTATTTCATAGTTGTTTGCTTCACTACAGCTTGATAATCTGTGATTTCCATGTTATGTTGATAAATCTGTATTCAATCAATAATGACTTTGTCGGAATAAAGAACATAGTAACTGATACTGACAATAATTTACAATTTTTTATTCATGAATCTTCTTGTTTGGAGGATCATACACTTAGAATTTGGTACACATGTATCTGGCATACTGATATATTGTTTTAACAGCATGCATAATGCCAGTCACATATAGTTAAGTACCAAGGACTTGGTATAGATATTGTTGGACACTTCCAGTGCAATTAGGTATAGATATGTCTGTGATTTGTTCACTTTGTGATTGACAGTTAAATTTGAGTGGGTGTCTTTCATTGTGCTAGCACAATATTTTTGTTCTTTTTTCTTTCTCATAAAAAACGATTTAACAAAACACTTGTGGCATAAAGGTTTCTGTAATTTGATTATTTAAATTTGACATTGAAGCATCTAATAATGGTTCTTAGGTGTTTTTTTCTGTAATCTTGGTAAATCTCTGAGCGGGTGTCTGTTTTTTTATTTTTCTCCGCCAGATCTTTCTGTTATATGATCTGCATAACATTGATGATGACAAATATTATTATATTACAACAATAAGAACAATAATCTTTGTAGAGACCCACAAGAAAGACTTAGACCTACATGTTTCCTTTTGTGCTTCTCTGTGCGCTTAAATGTGGAGCTTATTGTTACCATTAGAAGCATTTCCCTCATTATTATTAGGGCACCATGATAATTTTGACTTACAAAATTTCACTTATTTATTTTCATTTCTCAGGTCCACACTTATGTTACATTTGTCTCCTTTAGGGTCGTAAATAGCTGTCTCTTCAGTTAGTCATCTTTTTGCAGCTCATGTTTAATCAGTTGAATGTCTATTTCAGGAAAATTTAAATTCCCATCATCCTGTTTCAGAACTTCAGTTGTATGAGCTGTCTGAGGAACAGTCGGTAGCTGAAAATATTGGTTTTTCCATTCAATATGTTCTTGAATGTGTAAGTGAGTGTAATGACTTGAAGAGAAAAATTCACAAACACTTCTTTTCATTTGACCAACAAGCAAGTCATCTGTTGAAAATCATGGAGGCTGTTGAAAGGAAGTTCTCTTCACAAAAGGAGGAATCTGATTCTTTAAAAAGGGCCATTTCTGAACTTGAGTTGTCAATTAGGGGCAAAGAGAATGAAATTTGTGTGATAAATAGAAATTTATCCTTACTCTACCAAGCATGTAGCGATTTGATCACTGATATTGAGAATGGAAATTCCCAAATAGCTGAGAATAATCTAGCCCTTGTAGGGCAATCTGTGACAAGATCTAGGCAATCACCAAGTGAAATTGGCAGACAAGATATAGGAAATCACCAAATTCTCACAGATGACTGTATCAGATCATTGGTTGACAAGTTATTCTTGATTGTTAAGGGCACTAGAAATGATGAAACAACAGAACTGAAAGCTATGATCTCAGAATTACAAAGAGAACTTGGGGAAAGGGATGTTCATACAAGTAGAATTGCTGAAGAGCTTGTATCTCAGATAAGGAATGCTGAAGCAGTTGCAAAGAGATCCATGACAGAACTTGATTCTGCAAAAACTACAATTTGTAGTTTAGAGAAGCAGGTTGAATCAATGGAGAATGATAACAGATTATTAGAGTCAAGAGTAGCTGAGCTAAAAGATTTGGAGGCTTCAATAAATGGACTACATGAAAGGATTCATTCCTTAAATGATTCTTTAACTGTGAAAGATCAAGGTGAGTTTGAAATGCAGTTCATATGCTGTTACTGCATTTTTTCTTCAATTTTGGTGGTATGATTGTGTTAGGTGGTTTAAACTATGATAAATGAAATTCTTTCAGCTAAACTTTTTTTGTTTATCTCAGAAATTGAAGCACTCATGGAAGCACTTGATGAAGAAGAGGCACAAGTGGAAGACCTGGAAAAAAGGAACAAGGAGCTAAAAAACATGGTAGAAGAAAAGAGTCTTACCTTGGAGAATCTTGAAGCTTCTCATGAGAAGACTCTAGCAAAGCTCTCGACAACTGTCACCAAGTTTGATGAGTTGTATAATTTGTCAGAAAGCCTTGTTGCTGAGGTGGAAAACCTTCAGTCACAATTGCAAAGTCAAGAATCAGAGGTTTCATTCTTGCGTCAGGAGGTAACTAGGTGCACCAATGAACTTCTGGCATCACAAGAGATTAACAAAAAGCATTCATCTGAAGTTCATGAGTTGCTAAAGTGGTTTGATATGATGATTTCTCGTTTCGGATCGTCCAATCTTCACATGAATGGTGAAGACAGCCAGATTAGGTTGTACACTGATATATTGGACAAGTCAATAGCATCTTTTATGGCTGAATTAGATGATTTGCGCATGAAAGTTAGTCAACAAACCTGTAGGACCTTGCCAGGGCCTTCAGAAGTTGAACAGATGGTAAACCTCTATATTCTGCATCTCGTTTCTAAATTATAATTATGTTTCTGTAAAATTCACCAGCCATTTCTGTTGGTTATACTACAAAAGATTCCATTGCATGTTAATTTGCCTCCTGTGAGCATGGTAAATTCACACTTCTACGCTTTACTTAACATCTGTCATATTTTTCATGCCATCTTGAAAGATTGGTGTCTTCCTAATATCTTCACTATATAACATTGCAGAGTAGCATTTTCTTTTATAGACAGTCTTGGATAATTTATATCTTAAGAGATCATGCAGCTATAATGAGAAAAAGTAAACCCATGATAGATTACCAGAAAACACAGTAGAAGTCTCCAAAAGACTGGTGAATCCCTTGCAAAGTACTCCACCAAGGGGTTTACTTTATGTACAAGGCGTCTACACTATTTTAAATTACCATTTTGACTTGACCTACCTAAAACAATAACCTGAATGCTGGTTCTGGGAAAAAAGATTCAAACATCAGGAGAAGTTTTGGATTTATTTCACAAATATTTCTCATAATGAAAATGTTTTTCTTGTATAAACAATCTACAGCCTCTTATCAACTTTTGAGAATTACCTAGATCATAGTCGTCCCATTGAAAAAAGTTTTGCTTGTTAAACTTGTCACTTCTGTGAATAAAATAGACTGCTTATGCATGCATTTTCCAGTTTTCCTCCTATGCTGTTATGATTAAATTTTCACGTACTCTTTGAATCTCACTTTTGCATTCTTTTGTCTGAATTATTTATTTTGTGTATATAAGTTAAATAGTCTTTTGCTTTAAGTATCATATCTATAATAGCATTCTGCCTGTTGTCTTTATAATCATATCTAGCTTTACAAACAACTAAACCTTTAGTTACTTGGACGAGGTTATAGAACTCTAGAGCCCCTATGAAGCTTCATTTGGTTCAAAAGACTGATGTCAGTATAAAAAAGCTGCTAAAGGACCTTAAGTCTTTGCTAAGAAGTTACAGGTTCATAACCAACTGAACCATGTAGTTATTTGATAGTTAACATGATTTCAGCTTTGATATGCACCTGCCTCTTGTATTCTTGCGATGTCCAATAGAAATTTTCAGGCTATTTCATGCGTTCTTTCTTGATACAGAAAAATGAATCAGCATCAGCGGGTATTGTTACACATATGCGCAGCGGACGCAAATTTAATAACGACCAAATCGCTATCGCCATAGACACAGAAAAAGATGACCATGTTATAGACGATGAGGATGATGATAAAGGTGAGTTTTTTTTTTTTTTTTTTTCTGTTTACATGTTCTCAGATCCAGTTGCTTATTTTTTTTATTATTAATGTATTTTAGCTCTTAAATGGTTCCATTATTTTGTTTGTTAAAGCTCATGGCTTCAAATCACTGACGATGTCACGCATCATCCCGAGAGTTTCAAGGCCTATAACTGACAAGATTGATGGGATGTGGTAAGGCATAACTTTTACAACATTTATTGCTAAATCTCACCTTCGTTCTGTCCCCTAAATAAATATTCTTATCGAATTACCAGGGTATCAGGGGAGCGGCTGCTAATGAGACAGCCTACATTACGCCTTGGGGTATTAATGTATTGGGTTGCATTGCACGCATTACTTGCTAGTCTCATTTGATGTAAATCTCACATGTAAGTGATGAATCTCTTCTCTTCCACCCTTCTTTTGTTTAATCATAGGATCACGACAATGTCTGTTACATATACCCTTGATGAATGTGCATGTTATATTAGAACATTGTCAGTGTAATGAGTTATTTAGCTTTAAAGTGTCTTTGTGATTTTGAGAAGTCAATAATCCACTTTAATCTTAAACAGGGCAATATAACATTATAACCCTTATACTTTTATTCCATATTTCTGTGCAGCCAATTGATTAAAAATTGCTGTAAGTTCATTTGTGTTAAAAATGTAAGAAATTTAACATTCTTATATATAAGAATCATTACAGAACATATTTTTAGATTTTTAGGGGTTGCCATTTTACAAGTCAGGCCAGCTTCATTATGGCGCATCTGTTCATCCCATATGAACTGGGGCCCATGCCTAAATCATCATCACTGGGTTGGTCCAATTGGATTCAGCGGAATCCAGCTCAACAAGGTTGCTTAGGATGCATGCAATTTGATTCTTTTTTGTTGTTACAAAACTATATAGTTCTAAGATATTATGTATATGTAATTACCATTTACATATATATATATATATATATTGCATTTATAAGCATGAATTATTGTAAATATCATATACATGTAAATTATTATCAAACAGGATTACCTATAATACTTACTAGTATAGATTATATCCTATATCATACGCAATATATGCTCATACAATTTTAAGTCTTGATTGGCTTGAATGGCATTTCTAAACCAAATTAAATTGAATGCTGTAATTTGACTATTATCCTAACTTTGACTAATTTATTTGCAAACCTGCTGTTTCCAATCCTATAAAGGACAATATCAACACAGACTAACCTGGAGAAAAGAGATGTCTCTTTTCTCATGGGAGAATGAGAAGGAAATTTTCCAGCATTGAAAGATCAACAAGAAAAATTAAGTTGATTTCTTGATTATAAGTTAAAATCAATGAGAAAACATATAGAATTCATCAAACTCGGTAAAAGTTGGCTAATTTTGGCCAAGCTTAGCTGATTTCACAATCTCAAAAGTGAGAAAGAGAAGTGGGAAGGTGTAGGAGAGGAAGGATCAGAGAGAATTTGAGATAGTGAAGATATAAAAAATAATATATGGTTATGAAACAAAGGATGGACATTACTTATGTTTTCCTTTTGTTGTACTCATTACATTTGTCAACTATTACTATTGATGCAATATCTACCATCCATTGACATATAGGATAGGGAGGAAAGGGTGCAAGAAGAGAAAAGGAAAGATAACAAAACAGTCCACCTCTTAAGGAACTAAAGATGCTACCAGAGAGAATGAAGAGTATGATTCATAGTTGATTCCAGATCTTTTCTTTTTTAATTATTAGGCATTACCCTAAGCTTCACATGCATGGTGGTTAGAGAATCACTAAAATCACATTTGGGCTTATTGTTGTCTTATTTGTTGGATCTTATGGATGATATTTAATCATTAACTATAATTTTGTTTGCTTTTTATGGGATCTTTTGCCTTTTTATATTTGGATTTCATTTGTTTTATTTGAAAAGATATCTTAGAATACACAAATAACAGTCTTTTACAACATATTTTTACTTCCTCATGTTTTATTTTTATTTTTTTTCATTTTTAATGATATTTTAAAGTTCTGTTTTTTTAATTATTCTCCATCACTCTGGTCTTGTTGATCTGATTTGATCAATGTTTTCATCCTAATCGAATTATCCCTAGACAATCTTGATGTCTAACTATGCTCAAAATGACTTAGCGTAGACAAATGAAGGAAATAGAACACTCGTAAGTTTATTGCTCATCTCTTGTAGTAACCATATAATCACAAAGATAACCATAAATATGTGGATGTTTGGGAAAGTTAATTCATGGAATATTTTTGTGGTAGTGATAAGTTAGGGAGTGAGAATTGTGTTATATGTTTATGCAATATGTTGTGGTAGATAGTCATTAGATAATTTTGTCTATTATATCTGTCACGTGATTGTCCATGTCATAAGATAATAGTGGGTTGAAATGTGCCTGTGGTTAGTAACATGGATTTTAGCAATTTTGAGCAATGGTTTTGGTTGATCTGTCTGTAGATCATGACCTAGTAGCTGATCAATCGTGATAACTAAAATCAACATATGCAGATTGACACATACCTATATGGTCAAGATATATTAATCTTAATGTGGCCTAGAATCAATTTTTCTATGCAACATGCGGGACATGCATGATACCACAATATCATCTTCACTCATGTACCAATTTGATTGTAGCCTAGAATCATTTTTACATAAAATGTGCCAATGTGGGACATGCATCATACCACAATTACAGCTTCATGACATTGCTTTAGCATCTTGATGTAGCCTTAGTTTGATATTGATTGTTATGACTCATCCTGACAACCTACTAGCCAACCTAATAACTTGTACGGTATGACGATGTTATTGGGGCATCAACAACCTGACTGTTGATACCTGAGAACCAGGTGGTGGCCCCGTCAAGGCAAAACGCAATGGTTTGGAAGAACTGTGTTACCAACTTGGATCCAAGTTCCTTGAGGCACAGGTTGGGAGAGATTCAGAAGAACACAGATCCAGACGAACACAGAACCTGATTGTTGATACTTGAGAACTAGGTGGCAGCCCCGTTAGTACAAACACAATGGTTGGAAGAACTGGGTGCGAGCAACTTGAATCCAAATTCCTTGAGGCACAAGTTGGGAGAGATTCAGAAGAACACAGATCCGAGATCCAGGTGAACTTTCCCTTAATGCAAGATAAGGTAACTTGATCAACTTTGAGGAATTGCCCTATCTAATAAGCAATTTAAGAGAGGAAGTTACGTTGTAGGAACTCCAAGGGAAGTCCCTAGGAATTGAAGCCAGGTGGGAACGGAATCGATTTTCTCAAGAAGAGGAAAGCAGGGTTTCCAGGGATAAGGGTTAGGGGTTGGCCTCTAAGGAACCATGGACCACCTAAGAGAATGTGATTCACCTCCTCCGCATAGTGAAACTTGAAGCAGAAAAAGCCTCCAGCCGTATCACATCCAGCAGGCAAATGCCAAATCTTCGGACGAAGTGATTTGAGGAGATCAAGAGGGGGAATCTTACCTAGGAACTTATCATATTGACTAGTTTGTCATGCTTCGTTGGCAGAGCAAACCTCCTTAATGTCCTGTTCCACTTTGAGGTTTGATTTGCGCTGGATGCAGAAGAGCTGGCCCTAGAGGACAGTATCGACCTGTCCATCTTCTACTCCCTTCACTTTCTTAAAGAGATTTTTCCTACGTCGTAGGGGCAGGCTGAGCAAGGTTATTGGGGCACCATTAATCCTTGTTTAATTTGTACGCCAATCCACCTTAGGTTTATGCTGGCAAAATTGATTGGATACACTGGCTACGTAAGATGACACTAGTGAGTTCTTGTTTGATAGGAGGTTCTTAGAAGGAAAACATGCATAATATTGATTTTATTTGTTTACCTAGTGGCATAATCTAGTTTGGTGGGCTTGAATTCTCCTGAACTAGGACCATAAATTTAACATGACATAGGATGTAGCTTCTTGGGAGAAATACATAGTAGGAAGTTTTGATTGTCAAATGCATAATGATGGAGTTCTGGTCTGCATAATATATGCAAAATTTCCTTGATTTCTATTTCCTTACTATAACCTGACATGTACTCTCATATTGTGATCTATGGTGATATCTTATCTTGATACACAGATACCTTGGATTATACTTGCATGGCAAATCATTTGTCCTCCGATGCACCGACATTACCTGTGCGATGTGATTCTTTTATTACACATCAGACACTTGGGTCACCATACCGATCATTTTAGCCATGCAGTCAGCTGTGGTCTCTTCTCCAGCTTTTGCTTAGGCTGAATACAATAAGCGTGGAACGTCCCCAACTCAAGAAGTGCTACCGCAAACCTCAGCATTCTTTGTACATCACTGGCATTCTTTTTTGTTTATTTCTTTCTGTTAACTATAAATATAATCATGCAGCGCAAGTATATGGATTTCAATATCGGTGGACAAGTATACTAATTTTGTGAAGAAGGAAAAATCTTGTGATTGGTATTGAAATATAAATATGTTACTGTCATTCTTTATTGTTTATTTCTTTCTGTTAACTATAAATATAATCATGCAGCGCAAGTATATAGATTTCAATATCGGTGAACAAGGATACTAATTTTTTGAAAGAAGAAAAAAATCTTGTGATTGGTATTGAAATATAATTATGTTACTGCATTTTCAAGATGTGCGTCCTTTTTAGATTCTGATTCATTCTTCTCGCTTATTATATCTGATGATAAAAGTGGAGTTTCGTTCGTTCTTGCATCATGTCTTGTATCATCAAGTTTCTGAGTTTGTCAAAAAGCCGGAACAGATGGATTTGAATCAGCTCAATTATTTCCAAGTGGTTCAGTTGAAGCTCTCGGGGACCCTTTTTTATTTTCTGCAAATCGGTAACCTTCTGCTTGGGCAATAATAATAGTTGCAGAAACATGATGCTGCTTAAGGAAATAACATATGACGGTGGAGGAATAGAAGAGGAAGAAGAGACCGCCATGGTGGAGGAGGAAGAGGAAGGGGAAAAGAAAAAAAACCAAAAATAGGAGGTGATGGATGAGGAGGAGGAAGGAGGAAAATGAAGGCAAGAAGGCGATGGATGAAGAGGAGGGAAAATGTCGAAGATGAAGAGAAAGGAAGCAGAGGAATTGTAGCTAAAGTCAGTGATCAATAACGGGCAATAAGTGACAATATCGACTTGTGGAGTGCGTGTACGAGGAAGAGGGCTTCTGAGTGAGCCATAAACCAGTATAATTGTTTTTTATTAGTTCGATCGAATCCAAAACATAGACGATCTGCCTCTCGGTTCACATGCAGATATTTACATATAATTCAATTCATTACACAAATATATTAGAATCGTCGTAGTTATGAAAGTGAAACATCTAAATCCATTTATCCTAATATCGTCTGTTTCATCGATGAAAATAATGAGTAAAAAGATAATTTCAATGTTCCAATTGATGGTCGTGACGGACGGCATTGGTGGTGGTAGATGGCGGCATCGTTGGGGGGGCCATGGTAGCCTACTATAAATGAGTTACATTTACGTTGACGTCGAACGTAATTGTTGAGCGACACTTTCGCTGTTCTGTATCTACGTCGGTACCGATGTATAAGCAAATGCAGAGCGACAAAACGGTCGCTCACTACGTTGATGTCGATGCAATTGTTGAGTGATGAAAGAACCGCTCATTGCATCAGCATCGACATAATTGCAGAGCGATGAAAGGGCTGCTTGACATCTACATTGGCATCGACACAAATATAGAGCGGTGCGCAACTGTGTTGATGTCGATGTAGTGAGTGGCTAATTTGTTGCTTGGTAACTACGTCGACACTGACATAATGAGTGGTTCATTCGTCACTCTGCACTTACATTGGAGTCGATGAAGTTGTTAAGCGATGAAAATGCCACTCAGCATATGCATCGATGACCCTTTTGCTGTTCAATAGCTGCATTGACACCGACGCAGTGAGCGGCCCTTTCGTCGCTCGACAACTGTATTGACTTTGACGCAATGAGCGATCCTTTTGTCGCTCTTCATATGCATCGACATCAATGCAAATGCCAAGTGACCCTTTCGCCACTTGACAACTACCTCAATGCTGACAAGTGGCTCTCACCTCTTGTCATCCCTCTTCTCATCCATAATAACCACTCGGGGCTCCCAACGATGCTACTGTTCGATACCACCGACATTGTTCGCTACCACCAATGGGAACAATTGAAATTATCTTTTTATCCATTATTTTTATGTTTTCATTGATAAAACTAACGATGTTAGGATAAACGGACCTGAATGTTTTTTTTTTATAATTATATATATTTCAATGTAAATTTTTTAAATCCGGATGCAAGTCTAACTCTAAAGGGTAATATGTAATTAGCTTTTTTTTTTTTTATGCTCAACAACGGTAAAAACTCTTATAATTGATTCCAAATAGTTGAGACATCATGATTATTATTGTAAGGAGATGTTGACATATTTGTCTCGTTACATTTTCATTTCGAAATCAAGAATGACTCCATCGAACGTTATCTATAATTTCTGAAATATTAAAGAATAAGAATTAACATAATTTGAAATGGTTCAAACTTGTATACCGAGAAGGGTAAAAATAAATATTATAACAAGAAAATTTGGTATCCACAAGGTTGGTTTGAATCATTAATTGAAATGGCCTCGTTCATATTTTTCATGCAAAATTGCTAATTTATATCATTGATTTTGTGTTGATTTATGAATGTTATACATGACATTTCCAAATTATAAACATTTTTCTGGGCCTTTTGAGCATCCCGAATCATGTTTGGAGCTGAACATGATTTCACAGCCCCTAACTCAAAAATCTCTAACTACAAAGTAGATGAGAATTGGGCATAGACCTCACCAAATTGTTTGAAACAGGATTCTGTCATGTTCAACATGCACTCCAGGCTTACAATATGAAATAAACCATAAAACTGGGATAATAGCAGATGAAAAAAATTCACAATATTTCACTATAATGAAAAGTCATCTTTAACAGTGAAACAGATGCCTTTTTCGTATAAGAATCAAAGTGGGCTAATAGTCATGCAAACAATCAATGTGACATTCAAAGACACATTTGAATGCTTAAGAAGCAATTGTGTTTACATTCTCCTTCTTATCCCCCTCCACCCATCTACAGTGTAAAGTGACTCAAAATGCTCTAACATAAATCTATATAAAGGATACTAAAAGAGTCGGTATCACTTCTTCTAGGTCATGGTACCTTGAATCGAAACCTGTCGCACGATGATTACCCAAATCACTAACCACATGATGTAGGCTGCACTAATCACAACAACAATTTGACATGATGGATGCTTGTTCATCAACTGCACGCTGCAAATGATTGTACAATGATTCTTAGAGCGACGAGCCAAATCGCTGAATCATAGCAGGTCATCTCATCAAAATTTACACTGGTCCGAATACAGCTTGTCCTCTGAAATGAGCTCCGCAACCAAGCTTTTTAACCTCGTCGCCGATGGACCTGGCTTAACGACGTTGATGTCACCCCAGCTTAAACAGGCATCACCTTTCGACTTGTTCTTCTTGTTTCCAGGTCGGCTCGAGCACCACTGTCCAAAACCAACTCCACTTTGCACACGCTTTAGTATCCTCTTATCCACCTTCTTCAGCACTGGATCATCTTCCACAAACTTCCTAGCGAAAGCTGCTCTGCTCTTTATCATGGCCTTGAAGTGTGTTTGGTTAAGAAAGAGAGGCTCCAATCCTGGTGGGTTGTCCCAAACTATGTATCTCAGATCATTATTGACCGTTGTGTTTTGGAACTCGGGAGAGTTGCAGATCACAGTTTGAAAGTAGGATTCCATTGAGTAGGCTACATTCGCAAAGTACATGAGTAATTTCCGAGGGAGGTTATCGGAACCCTGAATGCAATGCTCCACAAAAGCTCTGCTAAGAATCACCCATGGAGAACCTGTTTCGTGTAAAAGAAAGGATAAGCCATTACCATCTCGACGGTAAAACACTTGATGACCTTAAGGTGGTTGGGCCAACACTTAGAGAATGTAAATAAAAATTGGAAGATAATTTGATCGTCATGCTAGACTTCAGTCCCAAATGTATGGACACCTATAATGACAACATGCTTAAGATTCAAAAAAGAAATCAAACGGAGAAAAGGATATAGGACTGGTGAACAAAGCGAAAAGAACCAAATGTAAATACCTGTGAATATCTTAAAAGCATCTGGTGTTTTACGTGTTCCTGAAGAAATAAGCAATTGGGAATTCTTGTCCATGTAAAGACTGGGGTCTACGACAATTTTGTCAAACCTAGCATACCTACATCAAAAAAGTTCATCACAAATTAAAGAGCCGCTTAAGAACACAGATAAATACAAAAATAGTCTTAGATATTGGAGCTAGCCTCACTCTTTCCAACCAAGATCACTGGTGTGATCAATGAAGTTCAGATTCCGGGGCAAAGAAGCGAAAACATGAAGAAGATCTGCCATTGCAATGAAGAAAATAAGGAGAACGAAACATACAGGACAGAGATATCTGGTTGATGAGTAAATAGCATAAACATGGAGTTTCAATGCTACAAACACGGGTTACATATGCTCTACGATAGAATATTTCTGACTCCAACATAAATTCAAACCAGAAAGCATATATATTAAGTTTTTTCTGGTAGAAGTCTGAGAAGATCTTTCATGTCTGATAAATTTGGCATTCCATATCTTGACATTGTAACCATAATTCAAGAAAGCTCTGTCTCTGACAATGAGCCTATAAGGCCTTCTCTGTCAATTCTGTTTCTAACCAATAAAATAAAAATAGTCTTCCCACAAAAGATACTTCAAAGACACATAAATGATGTTTTCCAGAAAGGTGTAAAGGTGTCAAACTCAGAACGTTAAAATTCAGGGATTGGTAGCAGGTTAGATTTGCTTCACTTGAAAGAAAAGTTGCTGAAAGGGGAAAAAGAAGGAACCAATTAATTTACAAAGAGTAATAGCAAAACTGGATTCACTTGCAAAAGAGTTGTGATATGTAATGACTTAGGATGTTGCCCACGTAAACTCACTTATTCATGTTCTTAGATTGACCCTAATCTTCCGCATTAAGCCTTGGAGGTCTCATCAGATTTAGGGTTTAATCATGTAGGCCTGTTCTCACCCTGAATTACAAGTTATAATCAACTTGTTTTAACATTAAATAAGGATGAGAGCATTCGTACCTGCAGTGACGAAGATAAGGTTGCTCATACATATCTTTTCTTCCTTTTTTATTTGAGATTATTTGGACAACATATGATAGGCAGGTGAGTTGCTAGAATCTTAATCGAAGACAAATTCATATTCCACTAGTCTTCTCTTCTGAAGCTCAAACAACAACCACAATTAGAACAACTGCTCATGTTGCTGTACCTTAATAAAGCAAAGGCCATCATCACCACATGGAAAAAGCTCGGATATGGGCAACAACTGCACGAGATCATTGTATCTTATACAGTCATGCAAGAATGCTAATAGGCACAAAGGCTCCAAGCAACAGGACACTATAATCAGATATCAAATCTTAGTAGCAATTGTTGCTGCTATTAATGCTAGAGAAAGGACATAAATTTTCTTCATGATAAAAATCCTTACTCGCAAAGGCAACCCCTCATACTCATTAGTTTCATATGTTCTTTTAGAGATCATGCAGAAGTAAACCAGGAGGCATCTGAGGAATGTCTCTGATTGTTAATTTCAAGCTAATATATGGTTTAAGAACTACTCCATTGCAGTAAGCAAATGAAATGCTACATAAATCAATAGAAGTAAAATTAACAACCTACACAGAACAAGATCAGCTGTTAGCATAAAGCAAAAATGCAAACTCTCACCGTCTTGGGTAACAAGTGGATAATCCGAAGCGCTTAAGGTAATGAACCAGTCCCAATCAGCATTAAGCCTGAGCAGAACTGCAGCCCCATGAAGTGTTGCAGCAAGTACTGATGGACCTGTTCGATCGACCGCATAACTTTGGCCGATGACATTGACATTTCTGAAAGCTCTGAAGAGCCTTTCGGATTGAACCGAGCGTGCCAGGTTGCTCCTCTCAACAGCTGAGGAACCTGCATCTAGGTGGAGAAGATATCGGTTCCTCGGGTGATACACTGCCTTCAACAGCCTCAGCATCTTCTGACCTTGGCTGCCGGTGCCCGATATCCAATATGCAAAAACCGGGGGATCAGCAGGCCCCTTCAACAAAGGTCCAACAACTAGTCCAAGCTTCTGGTCAGCAGCAATCCATGCTCCTCCTTGCAGAAAAGAATGGGTAAGAACTCCTAAGATCGATGCAGCAACAACCAACACCACGATGACGATCCTCGGGGAAAACTTGAGGAGCCTCATCGGACAACTCGAGTTCACTATCCAATTATTACCACCAATTTTGTGCATCAGACGCCTCCAAGTGTTCACAAAAGATTCTATCATCCTCCACGAATGCAAGTTCCAACCAAATGGAAAGAATCAGACGACATCTCCGAACTAGTATGATCCAAAGACGGAAGCACAGAAGTTCCCCTCTCTATGCAACATGAGTCGGGCGAGCAACTTCCTAATTAGCGCTTGGATCATCGGAAATAGCCTCAAGATCAATCTTTTCCAGGAAGTTACCGCCGACTCCAACAAATTGATGATTATCCAAGACTTCGATTTTTCTAATAGAAAAAAGATTTACCACAACAAGAAGAGATATAGACCGATCTAAATCGGCCAATAAGAAGACTGGGGCGAGGAGAAAATTCCAAGAGAGAAAACAGACCGCAAGACGCAACCTTTGATCGGAGTCAACGCTCGTACTCAGGAAATGGGCATACCTGGGTAAGAAAGGCGGAGTTTTGTTCAAAGACGCAAGCGGGGGCACCGGTGGGGGAATCGTGCGCACCTCGCGGACAGCCGTGATCCCTCGGCGCGCTCACCGCGGATTTAGCGAGCGGAACGGCGAGATATTTCCCGAGAAAACCGTCCTATTCGGGGACGATGGCCAAGAAATCGGATCCAAAGCGGATCAAAACGCGTCGGACGGGGGTTGGGAAGGGACGCTAGTATTAGAAACGATCGAAGACGAAGAAGCACCGAAGCAGCGTCAAGGTGTGAGCTTTGCGATCTGGAACAGCGAAGAGGACACGGTACCGTGAGGGGCCAAGGAATTCGACGTGGTTCCGCTCCAGTCCTCCTCCCTGTCTTTCGTTCACGGACAATGGGAGAGAACAGGGGTCCACAGCACTGTACGGAGCACAGAGACAGAGACAGAGAGAGACAGAGACAGAGAGAGAGAGGAGAGAGGAGAGAGAAGAGAGGTAGGTGTCATCATTCCTCGCCGGGGTGGTTGTTCTGCGATCCCTCCCACCTTGTTAATAACGGCTGATATAAACAATGTCGGATTCATCAACTTCACGTACTAATAATACCATTACGTATAACAGGATCGTCTCTTCGTCCGAGCGAACTCTTCCACTCAGGAATTGCCGGTGACAGCCAACCCTCGGCAAATAAATTCTCCACCTCCGTAGCAGAACTAAGCAGTAGATAATCGTCACTCCACCATGATCGGGCACAAAATCAACGCAAGTTCATGGACACAGGTCGCATCTTTTTCGATAGTTTCGATTCAGACTTGTTTATCTGAAAATATTCCGACATACTCGATGCTAATCATACCAACAGGCGATCAACTTCAAGCACACATACTGCTCTGCGGCAAACCACTGCCGACCGAATCGGTGTAGTTTATGAAACCGTGAGGTTTGGAGACATCAGTGTAGCTCAAGCTTCCTACTCCCGGAGTTTACGTCTCATCTTAGTGAACCGTTCGCTTCTCTTGAACAAACGACAAAAGACGGCGTTTCAATTTTGTCAGAAGTCTCTTTCTTAAAGAAGACAAAGGAGACGAAGACAGAGGATACACATCATGCGACGGGACCTGTTTCCCTCCTGGGAAGCTCATGTTTCTCGGTCTTCTTCGTGGAATCAAATGACTGGTCGATGCATCATCAACTTTTGACTGAAGGATGCAAAACAACAAATGGTCCGAGACACGGAATCTTGGAATATTGCATTGTTTGGCTGGTGGATGGATCAATCAGTCCAACCTCATGTTCCATAGAAAAAAATTGTAGAACTAGTGGTCTACTAGGAAAAGGACTTGGTGGCTTATAATAAATAAAGAAAGGCGCTCGTTCCCAACTCCTTTGTGGCCGGCGGTGGCGTGCGTTGACCAGTGTGATGCGAGATAGTCTCGCTGAGGTTATACCTGCGTGATTATTGGATCATTAATCCAAACATTAAGAAATTAAAAGGCTGCAGTTTCCTCTTTGACTTTGGGCCCGTCTGGAGTTCTTTATCATTCTTTAAGGATGGAATTTCTAAAGTTGACATGATCATCGAGTTCAAGCATGCATGATTTAGCCAAAAATAACATATGTTATTTGTGATTTGAGTTCTTGCACCATAAAATTGGGAAAAAGAAACTAAATTCTAAACATTAATAAGATTATTTCATTACCCGATCTGGTAAGCTGACTTTCTCATTCAACGGTGGATAATACATCAGGAGTTGGATGCGAATGATGCGGGCGTAATGTTCGATGCTTTGCCGACGATAACATGTGAGTCTAAGCGGTGTGTCCACGTGTAGAAAAACGAGGGTTTGGTAGTTGACGGGAGGGGTGGTGGAAGCAGCGGCAGCCATGGAAGGCCCCAAGCGCCCCCTCGACCTATCCTCCGTCGCCGCTGCTGCCGGCGAGCCCAACCCCGCCTCCCCCTCCCCTTCCTCCTCCTCATCCTCCTCTGCTTCCGCGTCCAAGCGCCGCCACCCCCCCTCCGCCAGGGTCCCCTTCCGGTCCCCTCCCCCGCTGAAGCCTTCCTCCGTCCAGATCATATTCCGTATCCTTTGCCCCGGTGACAAGTCCGGCGGCGTCGTTGGCAAGGGTGGCGCCTTCCTACGCCGGTGCCGGGAGGAGACCGGTGCCAGGATCCGCGTCGAGGACCCCGTCCCGGGCTCGGACGAACGCGTGGTCGTTGTTGTCGCCGAGGCCCAGCCGAAGAGGTGGGCGGAGGCCGGCGGAGGAGAGGCGGAGGCGGATGCCTCGCCGGCTCAGCGCGCGTTGATTAGGGTTTTTGAGCGGATACTTAGGGTCGACGAGGACGGGCTTGGGGAGGGAATTGATGGAGGAGGAGGAGGTACCAAGGAGAAGGGAATGCATGGGTTGGTACTTTGCCGGCTGCTGGCGCAGGGCAACCAAGTAGGTTCCGTTCTAGGGAAAGGTGGGAAAGTTGTCGAGAAGATCAGACAGGGGAGTGGAGCTCAAGTTAGGGTTTTTGGGAAGGATCAGGTGCCACCATGTGCCTCTGCTGGTGATGAGCTGATCCATGTGAGTAGCTGTTGGTTTTTTTTTTTTTTTTTTTTGTGCTTGGTTATCATGTTTTCTTACACTCAAACGCCAAGTGAATAGTCTTGCATGTTGGCATGCATTAGAAGACTCTATTTTTCCTCCACTGTAATCATCGAGCATTGATGAAGCTTACTGTGCAATAACTGACAGGTGCATTTTTTAGGTAATACATTATGTAGAAACCCCTGAATTACTTGGCCTATGAAAATCTTATTGCGGTTCCATATTATTAATTATGTCTCTGTCTGTGTTAGATCTCTTACTTGTTGACGGGCAGTTCTTAACATTCGATTTTAGTGTTCACAGGTCCTACTTTAAGAGGAGAAAGTAACAAGAGATAGAGAACTAGAGTTGTATGTTAGGTAATATTCTTCTACCCTGTCGTTTGTGATCTCATATAAGATAAGATTCTTCACCGTGAGACCAATCTATCTATATCTATGCAGTTTATCATCTATTCATATCAAGTGATTCATTGAATTGGCTATGTTCTTTTAAAATGTTATATGTAATGCCCACTTCCAATAGTGTAGGAAAAATCAGTGTTCATATCCAATAGAAGAATGACATTATTATCATTCATTTGCTTTTGTTCTTTTGCAGTTTTGGATTCTGCAGCATGCAAGATCCCAAACTTAAAAAGTTGTTAATTCTGTAATCATATTAATGATTATTACTGTATGTTTCTGCCTACTGCCATTTTTGTCTCTGTTGCCAAAAAAGAGTCAGGGTTTCTGAAAGTCTGAAACCATGCGCCGTAAATGCAAAATACTAAATGAAAAGCTTTAGTCCATGAAAGAAGCACCGCATCTTATGGATGGGAAAACATGTTCGTGAAATGAGTAGAAGGTTTCTTAGAGTGCTTATATTCAATTTTTTTTTTTGTAGCTAAAATAAAAATATGACTGAAGAAACTATGTAGAAATGAGATGCCTCTTCTTCTAGAAGAGGTTCTCTATTTGAATCTTGAAGAAGGGTTTTTCTCCATTATATTTTGATATTTGATTTTACGGGATAAAAAAATGATTTATTATATGTTCAAATGGATGCGACTAGTCATGATGCATGTGAAGCAAATACACAAATGGATAGTGAGGGGAAAGTGAACATGTAATTAATATTTGGAAAACCAACCCTGTCGATTTTTTTGAGGGTGGGTTTTGGGACAATTTCTTTATTCCTATGCAGATTTAATGCTTTACATGATGCAAACATTGTTAGACAGGAAGACATCCTTAGTTTCATCTTCCTCAAGGGGTAATGAACTGATTGCAATGAGCATCTGGTACACCCATTGTCATAGGCAGTTAGCTGTGTGATTTTAGGGAGGAACATTTTATTCATTCTCTATTCCTAAGAAACAAAGTAAAATTATAATTTATCCTCTCTGACGTGCCCTAGTTATTTCTTTTATTCAATATGCATGCCCTTTTGCATTCCCTTTCGTCCCTCGAGGGTATGCCGTGCTTGTATAAGGTCTTCTGGAGGTTAATCCGTTATTAGTTTCATAATAAAAGAGGTTTGCATGAGGATTTGCATGCTTTCTTTGGATCACTTGCATAACTAGGAGTGTGTGTGTGTGTGACTGTGTGTGCGTGCGCAGATGCATGTGCATTACTGATAGCTTTCTTCAAACTTCAAAGTACTTAAAACTTTACATAATCTTCCTACTGTTCCTTGTGCTTTATCAGTGACATTTCTTGATGGGCTTTGTTTCGTTTATTGATTTTCAATGAAGTTGCATCTTGAAGCTTCTTCTTATATTCCGTTATATATATATATTTATATATATATAGTCATGTGTACATAACACATGCGTGTTTTGGTTTTAGAACTGTGGAAGCATATTGTTTTATACATAGGAAAGTAACTAGGGTAATGGGTCATGTAACATTGCTACTTCAATGGATTTTACGAGATTTACTCTAAATGGGTGCTTAGAGAAATCCTTGATGAATGAACACTGATAGGATAAAAGATGATTTTAGATCTGAAAAGATCTTTATTAACGACAGAACATTTTAGTTGTGGTCATTTGATATTTCATCATGGATGTCATAGTTCATCATACCACAAGATCTTTTCGACTTCTGAAATTAAATTGCATAGCCATAGGCAAGGGAAAAAGATAAGTAACCTATAACCAAGGAGAAGATTACATCTTCTTCTGAACACCTTGTAGGAGTAGGATCTTTTTGTTAACATGATTAGCAAAGAAGCCATCCGAAACTGATTGCATATACACAATTGACAGTTCTAATTGATTGAGTAGTCTTGCAATCATCAATTGACAATTCCAAATACATCCTATGCTGGATGGTGATTTCCGAGTAGATTTTAATTAGTGTAAACTAAAGCTTCTGCTTGTTGGCCTGTTTAATCCAACCATTGATCTGCAAGATTCTTATTGCTGATATGATGAAATATGAAATGCTACATTTCATGAGAACCAAATGGTTTAGACTTTAGACTTTTGACTCTTCTATCATATGAACAGTCTACTCTAATATCTTCGTAGTTCAGGGCAGACAGATATGGACTATTGTATAGTCATTTTTCCACATCTTAACATGATCTATTACAAACTTTAAAAGAATGGCTTAGTGCACTAAAAACCCCACCAATGCGGACTATAGGAGGATCAATGATGGACCTTGGACGGGCTATTTCCACGACTAAAACCTTGGTCACTCAGGTAGCAAAGGAGCAACTTTAATTGTTTAACTTTTACAGCAA